TGGTGGCTGACTAAATACTTTTTTGCCCCACTGTATATGTATACAGCATACATACATATAAGTATGTGCTAATTACATATTCATGTACCATGTTATTTACATAATATTAGGGGAATCTTACTCTGTTGTTTTTAAGCCGTTGTCAATAGCTGCATTGTGTCCAAAATTTAGTGAAGCAATGGCCATTACGTTCTGAAAACATACAATTATAAATTAATGTTAGTATTATATTTCAAACCCGTACTTTCAGCTCCCACGTTCAATGAAAGGCCCCAAAACAAACCTGTAAACTATCTTTGAGCAGAGGAATCAGCATTTTGAATCTGTGAACGGGATCAAAATCTTGTTGTTGTTGAGGTTGCTGTAAACCAGCCGCTTGCTGAACGCCCATCTGAGCACTGTTAACCATCTGCTGCGACGCCATCGTTGCCATTGTTGCCATGAAACTCGACCGCTTCCGCTTCCGCTAGAAGCTATCCTGCAAACGCTGCTAGTGTAAAATGTAGTCTTCCCACAGAGGGCGCTAGAAGACGCAGAGCCGATTGGCTCATCCTGACCAGCGCTGAGAAAAGTAACAGGAGCATAATTGCACTGCTTTATAGCTTGATGATAATTATAACTTACTTAAATAACTTACAAACTCAAGCCAATAGGGTCCAATGATCAAAATAAAAAAAACATTTAATTCTGTAGTCCACATATGTTTTTTTTGTGTGTGTAGAGGGACTTTGGTCGAAACTATAGGCTATATATACATCATTTATTTATTTATTTTTAAATAAAATATCCCTCAAAATAACTGTCATAATCATAACACGCTGTCACGCGAACAACCGGTCTGTAACTATTTTAAATATCATAAGCGTAAGCTACTATATTAGCAGCTAATATTAGTGTCGTGCACGACGAAAGAAATAACTTCATTATTTGAATATCTGAGAATGTAGTCATTCGTTCAGGAATCATATTGGTCTAGTTCAGCTTGTATAGGTTGTCAAATGTTAATTTCTCATAATAAGTAATAACACTAATATAGTCAGAATCTGATAAATTGCATTTTTAGATTTGAGTGGGAGGTCAAACGCTCCACGACGGAGTCAACGTGGTTGAAATGAAAACAAATGTGGCCATCTAGAGGAACATTTGTGGCACTGCGAACTATCTTATAAACTTTTTCGGAGAATCGAGGCTACACAATCTGCTTGAAATATGATGGATGCAATAACACATTTTTTT